ACAACTTCATGTTCAAAACACTAGAAAAACTAGGAATAGTAGGAACATACTTCAACATTGTAAAAATATATATGCTAAACTCAAAGCCAGCATAATTCTATATGGAGAAAAATTAAAAGCATTCTCACTAAAAACTGGAACAAGATAAGGATGTCCTCTTTTATCACTTCTATTCAACATTATCCTTGAAACTCTAGCCAGAGCAATTAGACAAAAGAAAGAAATTAAAGGGATACAAATAGGTAAAGAAGAACTCAAACTATCACTATTTGCTGATGACATGATCCTATACCTAGAAGATCCAAAAAATTCCACCAGAAAACTTTTAGATCTAATAAATGAATTCAGCAAAGTAGCAGGATATAAAATCAACACCCATAAATCAACTGCATTCCTATACATCAGTGATAAATCCACTGAAAGAGAAATTAGGAAAACTATTCCATTCACAATAGCCTCAAAAAAAAAAAAAAAACTGGGAATCAATCTAACAAGAGGTAAAAGACCTCTATAATGAAAATTACAAAACACTAAAGAAAGAAATTGAAGAAAACCTCAGAAGATGGAAAGATCTTCCATGCTCCTGGATAGGCAGAATTAATATTGTCAAAATGGCATACTACCAAAAGTGTTATACAATTCCTATTAAAATCCCAATGACATTCTTCATAGAAATAGAAAAAGCAATCATGAAATTTATTTGGAAAAATAAGAGACCCAGAATAGTTAAAGCAATCCTTAGCAAGAAAAGGAAACAGGAGGCATCAAAATACTAGACCTTAAACTATACTATAGAGCTATAGTAACAAAAATGGCATGGTATTGGCACCAAAATAGACTTATAGACCAATGATACAGAATAGAGGACACAGAGACAAACCCGTATAAATACAGTTATCTCATACTAGACAAGGGTGCCAAAACCATTCACTGGAGAAAAGTTAGCCTATTCAACAAATGGTGCTGGCAAAACTGGAAATCCGTATGTAACAAAATGAAATTAAACTTCTGTCTCTCACCCTGCACAAAAATCAACTCAAAGTGGACCAAAGACTTAGGCACTAGAACAGAGACTCTGCAACTAATAGAAGAAAAAATAGGCCCAAATCTTCACCACATCAGCCTAGGATCTGACTTCCTTAACAAGACTCCTAAAGCACAAGAAGTAAAATCAAGAATCAATAAATGGGATGAATTCAAATTAAAAAGCGTCTTCTCAGCAAAGGAAACAATTAATGTGAGAAGAGAGCCTACAGATTGGGAGAAAATCTTTACCACATGTACTTTTATAAAGCATTAATCTCTAGGATATATGAAGAACTCAAAAATCTTAACCCCCCCAAAACAAATAATCCAATCAATAAATGGGCTTAAGAACTGAACAGACATTTCACAGAAGAAGAAATGCAATTGATCAACAAATATATGAAAAAGTGTTCAACATCTCTTGCAATTAGAGAAATGCAAATAAAAATAAGATTTCATCTCACTCCTGTCAAAATGGCAGTCATCAAGAATACAGGCAGCAATAAATGTTGGCGAGGATGTGGTGAAAAAGGTGCACTCATATATTGCTGATGGGACTGCAAATTGGTGCCACCACTATGGAGCAGTATGGTGATTCCTCAGAAAATTGGGAATGGAATCACCATTTGACCCAGCTTTCCCACTCCTTGGTTTATACCCAAAGGATTTAAAATCAGCATACGGTAGAGATGTAGCCACATCAATGTTATGGCGGCTCAATTCACAATAGCTAGACTATGGAACCAACTTAAGTGTCCCTCAATAGATGAATGGATAAAGAAAATGTGGTATATATACTCAATGGAATATTACTCAGCTTACATATGGAGTATTACTCAGCTTATTACATAAGCTTCTTTAAAGAAGAGTGAAATTATGGCATTTGCTGGTAAATGGTTGGAGTTAGAGAATATCATGCTAAGTGAAATAAGCCAATTCCACAAAACCAAAGGCCAAATGTTTTCTCTAGTGTGTGGATGCTAATTCACAATAAGACAGGGGGCACTAGGGAAGAATAGCGTTACCTTAGATTAGGTAGAGGGAAGTAATGGGAGGGGAGGGGGGGAGATGTGGGGATAAGGAAGATAGTAGAATGAAACAGATAGCATTACTGTATGTATATATGTGACTACATGACCAATATGATTCTGCCACATGTACTCTCAGAAAAATGAGAAATTATATCCCATCTACGTATGATATATTAGTGCATAAATTCATTGTACCTTCATGTATAACTAATTAAAACAAATAAAAAAATTTTTAAAAACTACACTGGGATTTCATCTCACACTAGTCAGAATGTCAGTCATGAAGAATGCAAACAATAATAAATGCTGGAGAGAATGTGGAGGAAAAGGAACACTTTAACAACATTGGTGAGAATGTAAATTAGTACAACCACCATGGAGAATCAGTATGGAGGTGCCTCAAAAGACTAGGCATGGAACCACCATGTGACCTAGTGATACCATTCCACAGTATTCATGTTAAGGAATTAAAGTCATCATACTACAGTGATACATGCATTCTTATGTTTATAGCAGCACGATTCACAATAGCCAAACTAAAAAACCAGCCTAGGCCATCAACAGATGAATGGATAAAGAAAATGCAATACACATACCCAATGGAGTTTTATTCAGCCATAAAGAAAAATGAAATTATGTCATTGAAGGAAAATTAATAGAACTAGAGACCATTTTGTTAAGCAAAATAAGTCAAACGCAGAAGATTAACTAACATGTTTTCTCTCATATGTGGAAGTTCAAGAGGGGAAAAAAAGGAAGTTGTGGGGGATCTCTTGAAAATTAAAGGGAGATCAGTTAGTAGAGGAAAGGGACCAAGGGATGAAAGTCAGGGAAGGAGGATAATAATATTGACCAAATTATATTGTTATATTTTGTGCATGTACAAATAAGTAACAACAAATCCTATAATTATATATAATTATAATGCACCAATAAAAATTATTTTAATTTTTCTGACTTTTCATTGTAATTTTGTTTAGTTTTTGACTACCTTAAAAGAGTATTCTTGATGACTTGTTAATAAGCTTTAACAAAACTATTCCTCACAGTACTTTAGTATATTTTGAAATATACTACATACACAGATAACATTGGACTATAGATGTTAAAATTTTAAGTTATCCAGACATCAAAATATTATTCTGTGTTTATGTTAAAACAGCAATATTTCTGGGCTGGGGATGTGGCTCAAGCAGTAGCGCGCTCGCCTGGCATGCGTGCAGCCCGGGTTCGATCCTCAGCACCACATACAAACGAAGATGTTGTGTCCTCTGAAAACTAGAAAATAAATATTGAAAAATTCTCTCTCTCTCTTTCCCTCTCTTTCTCTCTAACTCTCTCTTTAAAAAAAAACAGCAATATTTCTGATAGGGTCTTTCCTCAGAACTATACATATACAATATGCATGAGATAAACAATTTGAATATTTCCAAATATACATTTCTCTTCAAAGAAAACCCAAAGCCACCAGGAAAGAGTATAATGTGTAAGGCTATCTTAGCAAATATCACAAACATATAGAATGACTTTAAAAAAATGTTACTTGGGCAATGTGTTAACAAAGAACTAAGGGTTACTCTTCACTCCATAGGAAATTTGTCATAAACTTCAAGAAAAAAAAATGTTTTCCTTCATCTACATTTCAAGAAGAATTGATTCTAAGTACATTGTTCTGTTTTAAATGCAGGGTGTATCTGTTGCCCAACAGAAGCTATCCAGGTTAAGAACCAGGGTGTTCCCAGGCCCACAGCAAGGGTCAGATTGAAGGAAAGAAGTCAGAATACTGGCTGTCATCATATCACTTCTATTCTTCAAAGGATCTGGCACATAGTGGAGCCTCACCAAGCATCTGTAGTGATTTCTTTCTTATTTCCTCCCACATCAAAAAATTCTAAGAAACAACTGTGGTTCAGTTTCTCCGAAAACCTAAGTGGTCAGAAGTAACTGGCCTCAACGGACTCAACCACTTAACACCCCAGAATGGGAATTTATCAAGTTTGGCAAAAGCACTTCTAGCCTTGCACATTGTTGAAGAAAAACATTTAAGGATCTGAAAGACTGATGTCAATAGGATTGTGAGCAGAATAAGAGATGTTCCTAGTTAGCCAAGCAAGGTAGTACAGGCCTATAATTCCAGTAACTAAGAGGCAGAGGCAGGAGGATCACAAGTTGGAGGCCAGCCGGAGTAATTTAGGTAAGACCCTGTCTCAAAAAAAAAAAAAAAAAAAAAAAGGCTGGGGAAGTAGCTCATTGGTAGAGTGCTCCTAGGTTCAATCCCCAGTAAACACACACACACACACACACACTCACACACACACCAGAGAGAGAGAGGAGGTGGGAGAGGGAGGGAGGGAGGGAGGGAGGAGGAGGAGGAGGAGGAGGAGGAGGAGGAGGAGGAGAGAGAGAGAGAGAGAGGGAGGGAGGGAGAGAGAGGGAGAGAGAGAGAGAGATGTTCCTAGGTTCTTGGCTTTACCACTTACCAGCTGTTGGATAAGGGAAAAGTCACTTTCCTCTTAAACTATTTACCTACCTACAAAATTAAGAGGTTGGTTGAATCTGAGCAGGACACCTAAAGAGGCTATCCCAGAAAAAGCAGTGTTTCTGTGTAGTAATTTTGGGCTTGAACAGGTGGATGCGGAGGGCAGCTGCTAAAGACCTGGGCGACCTCTCTAGTATCTGTCTACCTCATCGAGGAGACATAGGTTGGAAGAGGAGACTACAATTGGAAAACACATTAAGAAAATAAATTTCGCACTTGACAATAACTCTGCACAATTCGAATTGTGCCCATTTCCCAGTTGGCCGAACTGATACCCAGGCTGATTAAAAAGCGCCCAAGGTCACACAGTGCGCAGGTGGCAAAGCCCCAACTGCAACTGCGCCACTTGTTCTGCAGGGCGCCTGCTGGCCAAGACCTGGAAGGGTCGCCGCCCCAGCTCTCACCAGCCCCAGGAAGGCCGCATACAGGATCGCGGTGGTGAACCAGCGCAGCACGCTCGCCGCCCGGCCGCTGGGCAGGGAGACCGGCACCGTCTCCAGTTCATCCTTAGCCGGGACGTCGGCCTGGAGGAGCCCCTGCCCCGCAGCCGCGGCCCCGGCACCACGCAACTCCAGTTCCAGCTCCAGCTTGGCGGCTCTGAAATGGTCTTGCTGAGATTGCTTTTCATCTGAGCTTCAGGTGTTCCAAGGTGAGCCACGGTCCTGTCCCTTGCGTCACGACGGTTTGCAAAGTCGCCACCTCCCCTAGGCCCGCCCCAAAGCAAGTCGGACTTTGGGATGCGCAGGTGTGGCGCGCAGCTGGCGCTCACCCTCTGGATCACACTTTAGGTGAAACCTCTGAGGCCACGGGACCCTCGCCAGCGGCGGAGCCAACAGAAGCTGCAGCCTCGGAACAATAAATTCCAGGGGTGAGAGGCCACCAAACCTTCAAGAGGAAATATGAGCCAAGGGCTGCACGGTGGAACCTTGTGTGGGCTTTCCCTGTCCGGGAGCTGAGGGAATGGGAGGATCTTGCCTTGCAGACTTTCCAAAATCCCTGCTCCTCCTCCTTTCGAGATATGAGGTTTCTAGGTCCATCCCAGAAAAGTATCTTTTACTCCATAAATTCTTGTTGAAACTCCTGTGTAAGCGTTCACATTGTGCTCAGTTAATTTAAAACTTTAATACTTACAATAACACTCTGAAATCCACCATAGCCCCCAAAGTACAGACTGGAGGACTAAGACAGAAGGAATAAGTAACTGTGTGCTCGTGGTCAGTCGAATCAGTGGCAACTGGTGACGGGTGACCGAAAGGAGGTCAGGAAAGAAATAAGCTCTACAGCTGCGGTCCCAATCCCACATCTGCTCAATTCCTGCAGTTTAATTCCGTTGTTGTAAAGAAATGAAGAAGGACAGTGGTTTAGGCGATTGCTGAGTAAAGTTCTGCCTGATGAGAAAGAAAGAAGTTTATCCGATACCAGTTTTAGTTTCTGTTTTCTTTTGCTTTTTAGCCTACCAGAGCACATCTCAAAATGTGATGTAAATGTTTATCTTTATCCTCCCTCTGAAATGTTTTTTCACCTGATGTCTATTTCCCTCCCTCCCTCCCTCTCTCTCCCTCCCTCTTTCTCCCTCCCTCCTTCCCTTTTTCTCTCCCTCCCTCCCTCTTTCTCTCTCCCTAATTCTCTCCCTCTCCCTTCCTCCCTCCCTCCCTCTCCCTCCCTCTCTCTCCCTCTCCCTCCCTCTTTCCCTCTCCCTCCCTCTCTCTCCCTCTTCCCCCCTCTTTCCCTCTCCCTCCCTCTCTCTCCTCCCTCTCTCCCTCCCTCCCTCTCTTCCTCTCCCTCCCTCTCTCCCTCCCGCTTTCCCTCTCCCTCCCTCCCTCTCTCCCTCCCTCCCTCTCTTCCTCTCCCTCCCTCTCTCCCTCCCGCTTTCCCTCTCCCTCCCTTCCTCTCTCTCTCCCTCCCTCTCTTTCCCTCTCCCTCCCTCCCCCTCCCTCTCTCCCTCCTTCTCTCTCCCTCTCTCTCTCTCCTTCCCTTTTTCCCTCTCCCTCCCTCCCTCTCTCTCTCCCTTCCTCCCTCCCTTTCCCTCTCCCTCCCTCCCTCCCTCTCTCCCTCTCTCACTCACTGTGGCTCCTAATAGGAACCTCAGCCTCATCATTCTTTGCAATTCAGCTTCCCAACTTCATCCTTTCCGTCATTAAATGCTTCTGTTTAATCTAAGAAATGGCTCTTCAATCTCATTCCAACTCCCCATTCCTGCTACCTTAGTTCTTTTTCTCCTCATTTCTTGCTTAAGCTAGTACAAAAGCTTTCTGATTGATTCCAAAGTCTAAATCTTGAAAATTTTAGTGGGGTCCTCTGGGACACAAATATAATGATAGAAAACAAAACTTCAGAAATTAAGTCAGTCAATCAGAAGAGAGGTAGTGCTTTGAGATCTATCTTCTGTTTAGTTGAAACCATACACGTAGGTAGGATTCCAGCTACAGTTGAAGGAAAACAATATGAGCAAAAGGCTATGGGACCATGGGGGAGGGAGGAACTAATTCCACTTGAGGAGTTGTAGAATGTGTCACAGAGAAAATGACATCTCATCTAGATATTTGAAGAATAAGTAGAATTTGCTATGGGAAAAGTGGTGTCAAATAAAAGAAATGTAGTGCAAATGTACAGAGAAATTTAAGGTAATGGAGTGTTTATAAGGCAGGTTCTGCTAAATTCTATGTGCACATAGAAGAGACACAGTTCTTACTGTCATACAGGTCATAGATTACTAGGGTGATCTAGTATTAAACAAACCATGACATGAAAGTTATGGTGTTTAAATAATTGAGCTAGTAATATGAAGAAAATAGAGGATGCAACATAATCTATTTTAGTTTTGGATGTTTGAAATGGTATTTTTGAGAAAAGTTTGGAGTGGTAAAAACAAAAGCTATAGAAAAGAGAGAACAGAATCTGGGCATGGTGTCACACACATGTTGCTAAGAGCCAAGTATATGATGCATGGCATTTTTGGTCGAAAGGTGACGCCAGCTAGCCATTGAGATGATATGATTATGTTAAGATTTGCATTCATATGGATATTGGACTCCTGCTGTTCACCTAGGCCGGCTAAGGGACTCCTGGAGAGTTCCCATTGGTTGGGGAAGTACAGTAGGAGGGAGTTCTGGGGGAGGAGCTCTCTCTGCGGTGCGGGAGGAGGCCCCGTGGGTGGAAAAAATCTCTGCCCGGATGCTACCGGACATTGGCGGCAGTTTCAAAAAATAAACTTTGTTCCTGCTTGAGTGGCTCCTGATTTTGTGCCCAGCCAGACTGCGGCAACATGTAATCTCAGCTACTGGGTAGCCTGAGGCCGGAGGATCTCAAATCAAACTCTCAGTGGTAGAGATGTTCCTGGGTTCAATCCCTAGCACCCAAAAGAGAGGAAGAGAGAAAGAATAGAAAGTGATGTGGGAGACAAAGGTTAGGTGAACATTGTAAAACTGTACAAAGGAGTTTGGACTGGAGTAATTCACTTAGGTTGACACAATGAGATCTAATATAAGCCAAAGTAATTTTTTTCAGAATATCAAGCTTCACAATATTTAATCTTTATCTACTAAGACAACTCATGCTACTATCCTTCATAAACCCGGCCCACTTCTGTAGCATTTATTCCATGTGGCCACTACCACGCACCTGGCCATCTCTAGAGGAATCGGAGATCCTGCCTTGATGCTTCCTTCTTTCTAGATAAATTGACTTAATTAAGATCTATTTACTCATTTAAATTTAACTAGCTTTTATTTTGGATTCTAGAATTGGACAACATTCTATCAGATAGAATGGGTATTTGGATGAACTGAGCAGAGGTGCTTGTCTTTATATGCAGAAATATGCTGAAAAAAGAAGCAGGAACAAGAGTGGTTGGGTCCTTTAAAAATTATTTTTCTGAGAAGGTTAGGAGAGAGATTTTCTTATCATACCTGCTCAGGCATATGGAGCCCCTTCTGATTGGCTACTGTGTTCTGATTGGTTGTTGCCCTCAGACTCTGAAATCACGAGGTCAGAGATCATGTCTCATTTGCTCCCCAACATTTGCCAGCGTGAACAGTAATCTGGGCATGTGGAGGGCAATCAAAGTACTGATATATCAATTAAAGGAATTAAAGGATTAACAATTAAAATTGAAAGTCCCTCCAGGTCTAGCACCCAGAGTTGTTACTAGAGCTTGAGCAATTGTGTAGACAGATGGGGTTTGAAGCCAGATAACAATGGACCAACTGTAAAAGAGGGGGTGAGGGCTGGGGATGTGGCTCAAGCGTAGCACACTCGCTTGGCATGCGCAGGGCACTGGGTTTGATCCTCAGCACCACATAAAAAATAATAATAATAAAAAAAGATGTTTTGTCCACCGAAAACTAAAAAATAAATATTAAAAAAATTCTCTCTCTCTCTCTAAAAAAAAAAAAAAAAAAAAACAAAAAGACGGGGTGAATTACCCACCTTAGTTAGGAGGTTGGTTTACGTATGGCGGCTTTCTATAAAGAATTAGGATAGGGCTGAGGATGTGGCTCAAGCGGTAGCGCACTCGCCTGGCATGCATGCGGCCCGGGTTCAATCCTCAGCACCACATGCAAACAAAGATTGTGTCTGCTGAAAACTAAAAAATAAATATTAAAAATTCTCTCTCTCTCTTTAAAAAAAAAAGAATTAGGATAGCTTAAGTGAAAAGCTCATGGGCCTCTTTTGAATTGGAGTTCAATTTCCATTGAATGTAGGACTCTGGAGATCAAGGCATCTAAACCTGTATCTTCTCTATAAAATAAGAATAAAGCCCCCTGCCTCATTGGTGCTTGGGGTTTAAAGAGATGATGAAAGATACCTAGATGGTGTTACAAGTGTGTGCAGAGTTAATATTATCATGAAGCTGATTCCAGCTAACACATTATTTCAACACTCCTTCCTCTTACCCCAAACTATAGTTCTTTTTTCAGTCCCCAATGATAACTGAAACTACCATGGGTAAGTCAAAAAATTGGTTCACAGGAAACTAGGGATGATGCCCTAGAGATAATATCCAAATAAAAACAGGTTTGTTTTTTTTTTAATTAACTACTGTTATAATGAGAAAATAGAAAGACACCATCCCCGCATCATTATTCTTTCCAGAGGGAGGTAGTAGAGGGACCCCAGCCAGAACTTAAGTCTATGCTTGTGACAATAGCTACAGTACCAAGTTTTGGCCCCACGAAGCCTCTGGCAGTGAGTGGTAAGGTCAGAACTTGACCACTAGGTCCACCCCCATGTCCAATCAAATAATTCATGAAAACTACTTTAAGTAGGAGTGTGATGATAAACCGAACCCACTTTCTCATGCAAAGCCTGGGGACCCTTGTATAACACACACTTCATTATACTTAAGAGTGTGAAATCCTCCTCTCTCCTGCCCAGTGCCAAGGCTTTCTAGGAGGAGCCAGAAAAGGCCAAGCTTTGCCCAGAGGCCCTGGCAGGAGGCAAAGAGGGTCCACCCTGCCCTGAGCAGAGTACACAGCTGTAAACTCAGGTCACTTAAAGCAGAGATGGTGGCACTCAAGGACACTTGAAGTATCACTTCCTGTAACTGCTTATGTAAGACAAGAAAAGTGTGGCCATTGGTTTTCTCTCTGCTTCAGCTTTCCCACTTTAAAAAACATTTTATTTTCCAAAACTCATAAAGAAAGAAGAGGGCAGAGGATATGGTTGTATTCTGAATCATGCTCAAGGTGAGAAGCACTGAACTACTTCATCACTATTCTTATTTTAAGAATCCTGGCAGCAGGCTTTCAGCTGCTGGACCTTCTAGTGAAGGGAAGAAAGAGGAAGGATCCCAGTTTCTCCTGATTTGCCATTTAGAAAATGGATCCCAGTCTGGTACTGAGATATCTGTAATCCTCCCCATTAGGAAATTTTATTCAAGTAAAATAAAAACTAAAATATTCAGCTATTAACAGCTTTTTCAGTGGATTGGTAAGTTTAAGAATTTGATCATAAACATTATAATTGAAGCTGAAAGTCAGAGATGTTACATATCATTTCCAAAATATCTATGTGAAGTAAAAAGACTACTTTCATTTCAGGAACCCAATATAAGCATCACATATTTGGGTAGGGGGACACTTAAAATCTAAAATATGTAAATAACCAATTTCTGAAGAGGAGATGCCAAGCTTAATTTTAAATTTCAAAAAAACAACTGACACATTAATTTTATTTACACCAACATCATTATTTATTTATAACAATACTTTACTCAAAAAATTTTTGTACAAAGCCATATAATTAATAAATACATTTATACAGAGATATAATAAATCTACAAGATTGCTCCTATCTTTTCCAGCCCCTTCAATAATCAAAATTGATTATTGAAAACTACCTAGGAAGGCAACCAGCAGGTTGGAGATGAGTGTTTTCAGAAGGACTTCAAACAAAAGTATTGACTATTCCTTTAGATCAAGCAGTAGCAGAAGTAATAGAAAACAGATTTTTTTTTTTCCTCTCTGCTTGCTCATCAGAGAAAGTGCAGTGTCAATCAAAAAAGCATGACTTGGGCTGGACTATAACTCAGTGGCAGAGCAGTTGCCTAGCACTGGTGAGGCACTGGGTTCAATCCTCAGCACCACATAGAAATAAATAGGCATTGTAAATCAAACAAACAAAAAATGACTTGACTGTGTTATAAATCAGTCTTTAAAAATCCCTCTGATGAGCAGAGTTTCCACTTCTCTGCATTATCAAAGGCAGTGGTTCTCAACCTTGGCTGAGCATTACACTTACAGGAGAACATTTAGAATATCAGTACTCAGACTCTACTGAAGTCCAATTAAATTGCTACTTAAGTAAAAGTGCTGGGCATTGGCAGTGTTAAGACACTGCCATGTGATTCTACAAGATCACCCCTATCTTTTCCAGCCCCTCACTGCAATCAAAATTGATGAGTGAAAACTACCTAGAAAGGCAACCAGCAGGTGGGGGATGGGTGTTTTAGGAAGGATTTCAAACAAAAGTATTGACTTAGACCTAACCTTTTGCCAGAGCAAAACACTGGATCAAAGGCTTATCACTTGGACTTAGGAACAAAAATACACTCTGCAATCATGCTTTTCCCTTGGATAATTTTTCCTCTTGGGGTTTATGGATTCTGGAGGGTTGCAGAAGCATAATGTCACTTTGCTCTGCTTCGTATCAGTAAGCACTTGACATATCACAGTCCAGGAAAGGAAAAAAACTTTCAACCCAGAGATAAGACCAAAATGATAGTGTCATCTAACTGGTTCTGATTATATATATACTGAGATATAAATATATATCTTTATACTGAGATACATATAGATATCCTTGGATGTTTGCCATGAACCCCTACTCTCTGCCAAAGCAATTTTCCACCATGGATTTTTGCTGTAACATGCCCAAAGGTTTTTTGTGACTTTCATGAACATAACCATGCAAGGCTCTTCTGTTTTTCCATCATGAACACACTAATGCACGCTTCAAAACCTTGGCAGTTTTTTAATTTTTTTCTTTCAAGTCAAGACTTCCCTTGCTTCCTTTGCAGGTGAGTATTTCCTTTCTGAAATGCTCAGTCTTGGAGTCATTCTTCAACAAGGCAAAGGGTGTTTGGATCAGATCAGGGTATTCTTCTCCTAGAGGTAAAATTTTCTGCAAGGGATCAGGAAAAAAACTGAGACTGAGAAGCTGCTCAGTTACCCAGGGTGTTGGGAGCTAAAACCCTAATCCAGCTCAACCATAAATGTCTTCTTTGTGCACTTAGCAAATCCCAACATTGGTTTCAGACTTCTTAGGCAGGCTTGACTGTATTAATCTCACCTGCACTGTGCGAAGTATTTTTACCAAACTCCAAATCAAGTAGGACTTCCCAAAGATATAAAAGTACTGGAAATGTACAAACACAAACACATACCAGGGACAGAGAGCTCAGCTAAGTTGCTTTACCAGAACTGTGTGAAAACAATTGCAATAAGCTTTACTGGATCTTCAGCTAATAGAATTGGTGTCCAGAAACCTTACTTGAAATAGTAAAACATAAGTTCCACGAAACAAGAATCCCACCTGTCTTCTCCTATTTTGTCCACAGGGCCCTGGTTTCCAAAATGGAAAATGCTGAGACACTATCTGTTAAGGGACTGAACTGTATGAATTTGGAAACTTCTTGATCCTTAGGGATTGGTGTTTTAACAGTTATCTCCTACTCACAGTTCACTCAAGTATAAATGATATCCCTTTAGGACAGTGCTTATTTTCCTTGATAAAGATCATAGTTCACTAACCACTAACAAAAATCTGCAATTTGCTTTGATTTTGTTTGTTCATTCCAATTGAAAAGAGGAACCAGTTCATCGCTTCTAGGGCCTACCAGTCCCACTTAGGAACCCATTAGCAAGAGTCACTGAGCTGAGTCCTATCATGATAGAGAACGGATCATCCCTTTAGTTTCTAATGTTCCTTGTATTCAGAATGGAATATAGAGGTGGACAATCAGTCAAGAAAGCAGTGGCATCAAGCCAAGATCAACCCATCCTTAGGCTGACCAGGAAATTCTAGGGCTAGGCCTATAAAGACAATGACATCTACTCAGGTCAGACAAATTCCTTCTGATTCTGGACCAGAAATATTCAGAGGATGACCCACAAAGTGAAGGAGGAGGGAATAGTCCCTGGGAGGGGCAGAGCTGTGGTGAGAGCAGCCTAACCCATGGTTTCCTGAGCACAGACTATCTGCTACCAGACAGTCAGAGGGATCTGCATGTTTGTAAACAAAGGGGCACAAGACAATTCAGTTAGCAGAAAATTGTGATCTAAACCCCAAATCACATGATAGGGATTAGACAAGAGAGGAAGTTCATTCATGCTTAGTCTGTGGTGCCTAGCACATGGTAAGATCTCAAACACTTGCTCAAATATGGAACAAAAATGGAAGGAGAGATAGCAAAAGCATGAGGTAGATATGCCTGACATAACCGTTCTTTGAGTTCATTCCCCACTACATGAGTGATGCTAAGCTGATTATAATAGGCCAAAAGTTCTTCTATGGTTTGAAGCTATAAACAAGCATGTGTTTTCCTATGTGCTTCTTATAGTTGGTGTCTTGGATTAGGATTAACCAAAACTAATGAAGCAAAACAATAAAAACACCTCAAAATATTCAAAATAAAATTACCACCTAATCCACTTAGAGGTATATACCCGAAAAGGACTGAAAATAGAGTCTAGAAATTTATGTATTCACATTTATAGTAACATTATGCACAATAGCCAAAAATAGAAGCACCCAAATATCCCTGCACAGATGAATGGATAAACACAATGTGGAACATACACACAATGGAATATTATTCAGGCTGAAGCGGGAAAGAAGTCCTGACATGTGCTCCAACACTGATGAACTTTGAAGACATTGTGCTAAGTCAGAGAAGCTAGTAATGGAAGGACAAATGTATGATTTCACTTGTATGAGGTACTTTCAGTAGGCAAATCAAAAACAGGAGAATGGTCACTGCTAGGGGCTGGTGGGTGAGTAGAACAGGGAGTTATTACTTGATGGGTACAGAGTTTCACTTTTGCAAGATGAAAAGAGTTCTGTGGATGGATAGTGGTGATGGTTGCACAACAATGTGAATTTTCTTCCTGCCACTAGGCTGCACACTTGAAAATGGATAATATAGTAAGATTTGCATTTTATACATCATACATCATCAAAAACACATGTTTTGTAAAAGCACCTCATACAAGTTAAAAAAAGCTAAAAAAAAAGCTAAAAGGCCCAGTCTCCTGTGCTACTCATGTCATCAGATAATTTCAAAACCTTTCTCCAGCCCACCCAGTAACCCATAACCAAATGTATCAAAGGCAAACTGCAATAAATTTAGGACCAGATACTGAATTCATTTTGAAATTAAAAACCTAAACCAAAATCTGGGAGTGTAGCTTAGTGGTAGAGGCTTGCCTGGAACATGCGAGGTCCTGGGTTCAATCCCTAGTACTGCAAACAAAACAAAACAAAACCCCTAAACCAAATGGAAAACAAGAAAATATATAAGAATTGGTATTCAGTGCAGAAACCTATCATCTTTGAAAGAAACAAAGAAGAAATAGAGGATAGGAGAATTAAAATAACTGCTGAACAAATGTGGGAAAATAAAAATTCTTTTGATCATAAACTTTCAACATATAAAATTTTAAATCATTAACTATGGAACTACACAGCTGGATGCGGTGGTACATGCCTATAATCCCAGGGGTTCCAGAGGCTGAAGCAGGAGAATCTCAAATTCAAAGCCAGCCTCAGCAAAAGCAAGGTGCTAAGCAATTCAGGAGCTCCTATCTCAAAATAACATACATAATAGCGCTGGGAATGTATCTCAGTGGTTGAGTGCCCCTGAGTTCAATCCTCTGTAACAAACAAACACAAATATAAAAATCCAACCAAAAGTTGCACACTTTGAGCCTGACTGTATTCCCACTACTTGGGAGGCTGAGTCAGAGGATCACTTGAACCTAGGAGTTTGATGCAACCCTGAACAACATGGTAAGAACTTGACTCAAAAAAAAAAAAAAAAAAAAAAGAAAAAGGAAAATCAAACTCCAATTCAATCTAGCTCGAATGCCCACTGATCAAAGTACATTTAGGGAAAGGAGCATAAATCTTCTTCCTGACTACCAAAGTCACCAGCCTGCTGGCTTCTTTGACACATAAGTGAGGTACAAACCTTCTATTTGGGAGCCACTAAGTACCATTGTCTACTATCCTGATTTATTAAGATCAGAGCATTCTGAAAGGCCATGACAATTTACATTATTCCATTTAACAAGGTATCTACACAGCCTTTCTTATCCTGTGTACATGTTAATTTCTAAGACAACAGCAAACAAATCCTTCCTGGAAACACCCTCTGTGATGAATTATTTGGTGCCTTATTTCTCACATTAGGCCTCTAGTACTTAAATTTAAGTTAGATTAAAAATGCATTTGGTATCATACAATATTTTGCAAGCTAAATTCACCCCAATGTCACCAGTACTATTACTGGGAAATGCAGATATAGACCTTGTCCATCATCCCAGAAACTTCTGCTGGATTGTACTTTAGAGAGAAAGTTCCATGGGGGCAGGAACCTCTGATCTTTCACTAGTGTCAACCTGACCTTTCTCACACAGATGGCAAAATAGGAGGTACTCCACAAATACGTGGAATGAATCATCAAAAGTCAATGAGATAAAGGGAGAAGACTAAAGATAATTGTTTTGTGTGTGTGTATAGAGGGTTGTGTGGGGGTGTAGTGGGTCTTACGTATGTATAGAGGGTACACAGGGATTGCAAACTCCTAAGGACAAAATAAAATCAGATTTAAAACAAGATAGACAAAATTTCCATAAACAGCAAAGTGTTCAAACTCCCTAAAATGTGGTCCTTCCTGACTCACGTGTGGTCCATGGGCCAGCAATAGAGCCTCATCTAGGAGTGTTGCAAACATAACACAAAAGCCATTCCATTTTTAATTTATGGAATTTGCATGATGTTCCAAGTGTACTCTTTTTTGTTTTTCTGTCTTTCTTTTCTTTTTTTTTTGAATGGTACTGGGGATTGAACCTAGGAGTGCTTAGCCACTCAGACACATCCCCAGCCCTTTTTATTTTTTTTTTTATTTTGAGACAGGGTCTCAATAAGTTGCTGAGACTGGCTTTGAACTTGTGATCCTTCTGCTTCAGCCTCCCAAGCTGCTGGGATTACAGGCATGCACCCCTGAGCCCAGCACGGCTCTATCTCCTACTCTCTAGAAGTAGAAGCTGACAGTGGAATCCCTGAAGTAAGGAGCCTCCCTACAGACAGACCACTGCTGCTGACTAAGGCCCAACAGCCCAAGGAAGAGCAGTAAAGGGAGCAGAGGTAATTTCAAGCTTTGGCTAAGGAAAAAGTACAGTATAGAAAGAGAAACAGTCTCTCTTTTGTTAATTTATCCACCAGCCCTCTCCACATTGTTAGGTTCTTAACAGAAACCTAAATAATGTGATGGGTATGCAAAGCAAATGGGCAGGGGCCAAAAAATGTGGCATATGTCAGTAAGACAAACCAAATTTTTTTTTTCAAAAGCAAATTTATAGAAATTAGATAATAGATAGCAAACATACTGTATCCCAGTAAAAATTTGAGGTCACTCAGCATAAAAACTTGGGAAAGGTAAACAAAATCTCTCATCAATTCTAGTCATTTATTGAAGGATAGCCACAGCAGTTTGGCCCTACTTATATGAAGTTCCCTTTTTCATCCCTGATGCCTGGGCCACCAAGTCACCTCATCTTTCTTTACTTTGGTTTCCTAGGTATTTCAAACTCAGGGAGGATCAGCCCTGGGTGGGTGACACAAGAATTCCCAACCCTGAACTTCTAGCCTGGTTCACAGTACTTAATATGAGATTATCAGCCAAACCCAGTGAGAGTCAAGTCTTGAAACAGAAAGACCTAGACCCAGCCTCTGTTACTGAGGTAGGCCAGGGGCCTCAAAAGACCTATCTACGCCTCTGCTATTAATATACTAACTCAAATAGCTTCTAATATCAGAACATAGTATCTCCAAATCCCATTTGTACATCACTAGAGACTAAATTAGCTTATAAAATAACTTTTAAGACATCAGTGAATATAGTATAATATCCATAATTGAATGAATTACTATACATCATTGAATCAAAGGCATTGATTATAAAATAGAATCTTCAAAAAACCATCAATGAAAATTTGTCACAATGTTAAATGACAGTTTGTGAAACAGTCTGGGAATGAAGATACTATTTCAACACCTTTTAGCATTTGCTATAAATGGATCTGGAAACTTTGATGCCCAAAGCATGCCCAGAGCTTCTAATGCTGCTCTGCCTTCTTTAGAACTGGAGATTATTCAAGGAAGTCAGTAAATTATCCATCTTCTCTTAGCGTTAGTCTCTTTCGTCCAGTTTTTGGACAATATGCTTCATAGGGGAATCACCAATATTAACTGAAGAAGAGTCAAACATTACCTTATTTGAGAGGAGTCAGAGTCTTCAGCTGTGGGCTCCATTAAACTATTTTTAGATATCTCTATGACAATATGCCTCATTGTATCATTCATTTCCACCGCTTCAAAATCTATTTCATTCCATTTTGCTGACATCCCCTTCATTTGCTTCCTCATATCCCAGAAATAAAGGGCAAAGCTTTTAGCTACTCACTGTTTCTATTTGCTTTTTGCTGGTGATCCAGAGGCAAGGTGGCTAATTTATACAGCACAGGAAATATAACAGCAGTGGATATTGCTGACCCCAAACAGGTGTACAGAACTATGGGCAAATCTGGGTATTGTCCCTGAACAATTCCAATTACTGCAGGAATAGCCATCTCTCCCAGGGCACCACCAATTACAAAAAAGGCTGCAGATTTCCCACTTATGGTCGTGTACTGCTCAATCCAGGAAACACCACTGGGAAACGTGGTTGCCATTGAGGCCCCATACACCGAAGTGGCAATCCAGAGACAGAGTGGACTCTTGTTGAAAAGCACCAGAAATAAAGATGAAACCAGGCTGCCAATGTTGCTCAACACAATCATGGTGCCCGGCTGTAGACAGGCAGCAAAGAAGATCGCCAGGCCCCTAAAGGCTGCAAAGGTCCCCCAGAAGATGGAGTTCAACCCAGCTGCTTCATGTTCTTCCATGCCAGCATGAGTGGTGGCAAAGGAGAAAACGTAAGAGCCATATGTTACCTCTGCTCCAACATAAAAAAAGAAGAACACGAAAAGGAGGCAGAGAAGGGTCTTGTGATATTCAGCTCTTCGATATCCCTGAGCAGATGGTTTTGATTTTTCCTGCCTTGAGCTTTTCTTGAAAAACAGAGCAAACAGGAAGACAGACACTATGAAAATATAAGTGCCGATAAAAGCATAAGCCCAGAATAGATTCATGTCATCAGGCAATCCAAACAGAGGCGCTGAGTTAGCTTCAGATGATCCGTTGGTGGCTGGAGGCTGAAAGGCAGGCTCTGTGTGGTTTTCAGCAGACACTGGGGTATCCAGTGCCAATTTAGCCAGAATTGGAGCCAGAAAGGCACCCAAAGCAAAACTGAAGTGTAAGGCCTGCATGTGTGGGGCTCCTTCATGCCCCCAAATATCCAAGATGAGGACATTACCACCTGCCAACGAAAGATGGGTAAATGATTTATGTTAAACACAATTACCCCATTAAAAAATAGGTCATTACTATTTGAGGATGAATCTGTATTTCATGGCATGCATATTGTAACAAAGTTATCATCAAATATTGCACCTGAGTCAGATCTCTGGTTAAGGAACTCTCACCCACTACCACCAGAGAGCTTATAACTGTCATCTGCATACTTGGAATTCTACAAACTGGTAAACCACTTCATCTCATTGCCCGGAACATGAGTAAAGAGTTTTTATAAAACAGTGCTAACACCATATTGGGAAGTAATAGTTATATCCCTTGTATTTCTAAGTAGTATAAACATATATATATTAGGCAAATCTTATCATATATTAGTCAAATTACTGAAGCTTTCTTTTCTTGGAATTGGTAGCCACCTCAAGAACATTATTAACCTATTAACCAGAGGCAAATGAGGAATGGAATACTCCAGAACTCTGGTGTGCCCATTACAGGGAACAAGAAAACTTTCAGCATCTGTACTCACCCTGTCTGAACACCTGCAAGGTGAAAGGCCGGAAGCATCAAGTCTTCGGCTGTCTTTTTTTTTTTTTTTAATCAGATATTTTCAATAAAAATATGATTCTATATTGTAATTTTACAACCAAAGCCTGAAGAATAAAACATTTACACATTCAATCAATAATACTAAAGCAGGGAAGGGAGGCATAGAAAGTTGGATTTGATGCTAAATAAGTATCCTGTATGTTATTTAGCAGGTTTTCAAAGACATAATTACAGATGCAAAAGCTTTACTGTGAGAGAACGGGGACTTCTGAGAAAAGTCACAGGAAGGAAAAACAAGAAAAATGGCACATGCTACAGGTTTCTCTGTGCTCAAAAGCCAGGGTGCATTTTAAATTGGAGGTTGCCTTGGTGCTTCTTCAGTCTAATAATGGTTCCACATGTTTTATCCTATTAACCATCAATTCCTCTTATGCTAAAATGGTCATATTTCATCATGACATGAAAACCTCCTCACCTTTAATGCAATTAGCCATAGGAGGGGTTTCTTCCCTGTTTGGATACTATAATTCAACAATCTCTCATAAAACAAAATTCTTTATGTTTCACGTTAGAGTTGGCTGCTCAAAAATCTGAGCCCTAACTGGAAAGAAGAGAAAGGGTGGTTCTGATGGGGAGAACCCACAGTTCACTCAGTAAGTCCGTGTCGTTTCAAGAGCATTTCAAGGGACAGTTTAATACTATCTGCTCTACTCCTCCTAGCAGTAGTGTCCCAATCCCAGAGATGATACTGAAGGCCTCACTAACCTGTATCCAGCATGCCAAATGAGACGCCGAAAACAGACATCATGACAATCAGTAACACGGCTGTCTTGCAAAAAGGAATAATATAAAGACCCACTGTGGTGGCCACCAGTGACATCCCTGAAGAGAAAGTAATAAAGTCAGCTACAAAAAATAGGAGCCATTAGAAACTCAAGGGTTAAATATTTTCTTTCATATGTGGAAGCTAGAGCAAAATAAGGGTGAAAAGGGTGGGGGATCTGATACCAAAAAGATACAGGGAAGATCAGTGAAGTAGAGGAAGGAGATTGAAAACGGAGAAGGGACAGAAAGGGGGAGGAAAAGCAGAATGAATTTAATAAAAATCACATTACCTGCGTATATAAATATACACCTTTATGTATACATAGAAAAAACAATATGAGGAAAAGGAAGATCAGAAGAGTAGAGGAAGGAGAATAGAGGAAGGAAGGGGAAAATGGGAACTGAAATAGAATAAATCAAATTCTATGCATGTATGATTTTGGAAAAATGAACTCAATTACCGTGTTTGACTATAATGCTCTAATTAAACACACACACACACAGAAGTCATGCAGAGTTCTTAAATGTTTCACACTGAAGAACTGAAAGGGAATTTGAAATAGGAGGTAACAAATTTAAAAGGCAAAAAAAAAATGCAATCAGACTTGTGTGCGGTGGTGCATGACTGTAATACCAGTGAAAGGAAACTGAGCAGGAGGGTAGTGAGTTCAAAGCCAGCCTCAGCAATTTAGCAAGCCCTTAAGTAACTCAGTAAGACCTGTCTCTAATTAAATATAAACAGGGGCTAGGGATGTGGCTCAGTGGTTAAGTGCCCCTGGGTTCAGTTCCTGGTACCAAAAACAAACAAACAAAAAAAGAAATGTAATCAGTATAGTAACTTGTAAAAAAAACTTTAAATAAATTAGTTTAGGGAGTAGGGAAGGAAATACAAGACATATATATTTGGGCTGGCATATAGGTTACTGGTGGAATGCATACATGGCATTTGAGAGGCACTGGGTTCACTCCCCAGGACCACAAAGAATCAAAAACAATTAAGTGTGTGCGCACATACCCACCACTTTGGAAATAAGAGAAATTATTTATTTATTCATCTGTAATAAATTATTCTCCTTGCTTCCAAAAGAGCCTTATCATAATAAATTTTCTTTAAATATTATTTAAAGCAGAGTATATTAAAGCTTTGCCATCTCTTTCCTGGTGAGGAAGGACAGTCTGGGGTCATCACTGACATGAGGCAGTAGCGACAAAAACGTAGCCTACCTCAGTTCATTCTCCATCTCCTGCCCCTTCACTTCCAACCCAGACTCCATAGAGCCAGGGCAGATTCCAGGAGCCCCTTCTGAGCTCTGTGGCCCTGGGAGAGCTGCCCTACACCCTGATGAGCAGAGCCTTTTGGACAATCATTGGGTGACCCTGGAGGGATGCCTAAATTACAGTCAAGGTCAGGAAGTCTAAGCATTGCTAACACACACACACACACACACACACACACACACACACACCTGGGGGCTGATCTGAGTTTCCAGAGGGCCCAGCACAGATTCCCCTGAACTGCCAAGGTCAGAGCAGGACCATGGAAACCCAGCTTCCATGGAGGACACCAAAACACCACCCATTTCGGTTGTCAACCTCTCTGCAGGCTACCGTTTTCATACTTAAAGGCAAGTTGAATATTCTTTGAAAATCACAAAGAAATGAAAATCGGTGTCTACTTACCCAAAAGTAAAAAATGATTCATACAGTCAAAAAGAATGCCACCAACCACAGAGCCACTCAAATATCCAAAAGCACGACCCACAAATATTTCAGAAAGACTGCTGATATTTCGGTTCACATTTCTTGCCAAATCTTGAAACGTGGGTCCCAGTATAGCAATAGTCATTCCCTGAAATTTATAAAGACAATCAGTTTTTCCTTACAAAGAAAATATGTTTTTAATTTGTATGAATTTAAAAGTGGGGAGGAGGATACAATGCAATACAGAAAACTACTTGAAAGTCCACAGTAGGGAAAAAATGTACAATGACAATATAATCTTATTAGAGTGATAGATAGCTACTATATTTTCTTTTCAAAACTCTCAATTTAAAAAAGTCTGTAACTCTTTGGGTTTTTTTTGTTTGTTTTTTTGTTGTTGTTATTGCAATGTTTCCTATTTGAATAATGCCCTAAAAGACTATTGTGTATTAAGAGTTAATAGGATCTAGGGATGAACTCAGTGGTAGAGTGCTTGCTGAGCATGCACAAAGCCCAGGATTTGATCTCTAGCACTTCGAGGGAAGGAGGTAAGGAAGGAAGGAAGGATGGAAGAAAGAAAGGGATAAAATGTAAGATGAAATCTATTCTTGAAACAATTGTCTATGTTTTAAAATATACTACATGCACCAACATGCAAGTTTAGATGTTAAAAATTCAAATTATAAAAACATTCTATTTTTGATATTGTTAAAATAGCAATATTTACAGTGCATATAGGGGCCCTCCACTCAATGACAGACAATTAGCAGAGGATAACTAATATATTTTTTAATCTATAATTTTCTTCAAAGAAATCCCCAGCCATGAGGAATATACCCTGTCAAGCTTTCTGAGAAATTTTTACATACTAATAACAGAATTATTTTAATTATAATAAACTTTTACTCAAAAACAATATATTATGAAAAATTAAATTTGACGTAAACCAGCCACCGTGTGTTACAGATTGTAGCCTAATATGTCAAAAAAACTATAATCTAAGAGTACATTCTTATAACTAATGCCCACATTTTGACCAATTATATCAGCCAATCATAGGCTGTACACTGCTCAGATTGCCCAAATGAGGCAAATGCAAAACTACAACTTGTGTAGTATAACTTCCTTTTTCTTACTATAAATACTGTCTGCCCACATTGCTGGTTGATATTGTCTCAACCTTTTATTGCTCACATTGCTGCCCAGTTTATGAATATTGTCATCGTTCAAATAAGCTCTGTGAAATTTAATTTGTATAAATTTTTCTTTTAACTGGTAGGCATCAGATATGGAATATGAAATATTCCAGTAACCTCCAGGAACACTGAGAGTCAAAGAAATTTACAATTAAAGGTCTCTTGTACCCATTGATTTCATTGAGTGACTGAGGTCACTAGCAAGTTTTCTTTTCAAGTTGAGCTCCAATAATTTGAGTAAAAAGCTTTCTAACTATATTTGAGCTTTTTTTTTTTTTTTTTTTTTTAATGGACAAGAGTCCATGGCCACATTGAATCTGATAATTCACTGGACTATATCCAGTTAGAGGCTTCCAGTAGTTACCTTCTGAAAATGGGTTTCTCCAATTCTAAAGAGTCTGGGATTCCAGGAGTCAAGGAGTCCACTTCCTGCGATACCCACTAACTTTATTTAAAAAAAAAATATGGGCTCACGGCTGTGTATTTTTGGATAAAATGAGTGAAATTTACTAAGAACACCATAGAGTTATAGTGGCCACATTGGGAAAGTTTCTACCTAGATGAAATTTTTCACTTGAGACAGTCATAAGAAAGAATTCAAAACACTAAAAAATCAATAGGATGCATCAACCTTATGTTATCCCTATAGCACAAAATTTGTTAGCAAGAAAAATAATTTATCATGGTTAACTGTTTAACATCTCATTTTTATAAAGAACTAAAACATAGTTGTTAAAAAATAAATGAAATAAATATCTGTAAGATAAGACACCCAGGTAAAAGATATTCTTCCTGAGCCAATTCTTATTATCAAGATTGGAAATCTGGGGCTGAGGGGAATCTTTATAAATAAGAATTTAATTGTTAAGGCTAGCAAAAAACTAACAAAACCTAAGGGAGTAGCACTAAAAGTTTGCCTCCTGTACAGTTTCTTGTGACAGAGAGACTGAAGATATTTGGAATTGTTAGTAAACATGTTCTGTGCCACACTGACAAGTTATACTTTGAGAGAACACATGCTTCTAGAAGTCATGATTCATAGATTTGCCAGTCTACACATGGATGGTGTGCCATTCACAATGGCTTGCTTCCTCGTGTTCACTGCAAATTAAGGTCACTAAAGGTTAAGAATTCCAATTAATATAGGAAACTAAAATTCATACAAATAAGAAGGGGGAAACCCTGTTTGCAATTGTATAGGAGATAAAATATGCTTTTTTTTTTGGTAAGGAAAAGCTGTAGTATGAAGATATTTTGTTTTATTGAGAGGAAAAATAATTTTTGTCATAAAGTAGAATGACTTGCTCTAAAATTATAAGATGAAAACTACAAGACAAAAACTGAATGGATAAGGAAGTTGTAGGTTTGTGGAAGATAAATCTTGTGAAAAGAATTTTGCATGTGACCAAAGTGGTTATGATTAGAAGGAAACTACTTAGAAGTTTTACTGAAAATGGAGCATTAATATCTAAAGTATATAGCATGGGCTGGGGTAATAGCTCAGTAGTAGAGTGCTTGCCTAGCACGTGTGAGACCCTGGGTTTGATCCTCAGCACCACATAAAAATAAATAAATAAAATGAAAGGGATTGTGTCCATCTACAACTAAAATAAATAAATAAATAAATAAAGTTTAAAGTACATGGCAAACCAAGATTTTGGTTCTCTCTGTTAAAACAACAAAGTTTTCCTAGAGTTTCGGTCAGTTATTAACCACGTTTGAGGTTGTGGCCTAGAAAACGACAATTGAATCTTACCAAGATTCCTGTGCTTCATGTTGTCTTTACAAGTTTTTGATCACTCACAGAATCCTAGCCCTCTCTCTTAAAAGAGTTAACTAAAATTATGTTATTTTTGGTATGTACCTTTGAAGTGTTAGCATCTCTTTGGTTAAATTAATGACTACAGTATAAAATGACTTGTGGTTTAATTTTGATGAAATGCCTTAAATCTTTCATGTTTTTCTTGAACTTTCTAAAATAATTCTAAATTGTCTTTTTATTGATCTTGAATTAGGTTTGAGGTTTTTCCCAGCCCTTGGAGCTGTCAAAAGGACAGCTTTCTTTTCAAAAAGAGATATAAACTAATTTGGCTTATTTGATGCATTAAATTATAAGTGAAGCATTGTCACCTAGTAAGTAATGCTAAAATTTATTTGAGTTATATTTGTAAGGAGATGTTATTAATATGTTTCAGAAACTTATGAAGTTCCTAGAAATAGTCCTAGTATTATACCATCAGTCATAATTATGGAATGCACCTGTGGTCCCAGCCACTCTGAAGGCCAAGGCAGGAGAATCACGAGAGTTTGGGACAGCATGGACAACATAGCAAGACTCAGTGTCATTAAAAATAATGTATTAATAAACAAAGTAAAAAATCCATTGGCAACTAAAAAATATTTTTAAAAAAATATTGTAAACAAATTTTTCTTATCAATGTGTCACTATTGTAATAATCATGGCTATTTAAAACTTTTTCATTCACAAACAGTTAATTGTTTAATCTGGCATGTTTCTGGGCCCTTTTCAATTTGATGTTGAAGGACATTCAAGAAAAGGACTGTCATATACATGTTTTTGATAACAATTCCACTGGAGGAAGTAAGAATTCTAAGAACTGTAATGAAGAAACTGAATGGCTTATAAACATCAAGCTGATGTTTAGTCAGCTTTATACAATAGTCATTCATTTAACCATATTACCCAGTGAGTGGAGCATGGCTATAATTCCAGCTACTTGGAAGGCAGAAGCAAGATTACAAGTTTGAGGTCAGCCTGGGAAATTAGCAAGACCCTGTCTCCAAATAAAAGATAAAAGGGGTGGGTATGTAGTTCAGTAGTACAGTACCTCTCGGTTCAATCCCCAGTTGAAAAAAAAAAAAAAGATATAAGTCGCATATGCTATGGAGAACTTGGATGACTGCCTTGCCCTCACTGAGGCTTCACAGCTTCCATGATTAAAAGCTCTGTACTCTTAAGACTCATCATAGAACAGAGAAAATGATTCAAATCGGGAAAAAACATCAAAGGGGTAACTTTACAATTGGATGATAAGCTTATAATCAATATTCAGTTTGCCAGAAACAAAATTCTGTTGACAATGAAAAAAAAAAAAAAACTCAAAAGATAGGTCTCCAGCAGCTGGTGGATGATTTGAACACCTGAAGATGAATTTCATTCACTTGCCACCTTCAGTACACATTTTCTGGTTGTATAGAAACTTTCCCACACAGAAAGACTTAGACCATAACAGTAGCTACGGAAATGTGTTTTCCATATGGGGCATTCCTGGAGTAAAATCTCCAGCAAAAGAGGTACTTGTATCACTGCAAAACAAAAACAAAAACAAAACAAAACAAAAAACTGTGCCAGTCACATTGGCTCACACCTATAATCCCAGTGGCTCGGGCTGAGGCAGGAAGATCCAAGTTCAAAGCTAGACTCAGCAATTTAATGAGGCCCTAAGCAACTTAGCAAGCCCTGCCTCAAAATAAATACTAAAAAGGGCTGGGGATATGGCTCAGTGGTAAAAATGTCCTTAGGTTCAATCCCTAGTACCAAAAAAAAAAAAGTTTAAAAAAGGGGGGTACTACAAACACAATGGTATCAAGTTAACTGTGACAAACTCAAGTGCCTTTAATCAAAGGTATTACCAGCTGATGGCAGTCAGATTTACTCCCTCTGGTGAGAAGATTGACTCCTTGTGAAATAGTTATTGGAAGACCTATGCCCCCAATAATTGTATCTCCGCTCTCTAAACTGACTCGACTCAATAGGGCGAGGCTTTAATGCATTATATTAAAGCATATTTCCCACCAAGTAAAAATACTCTTTATGTCCCACCAACTGATGACAACCAACACTTTCATGATCTAAAACTTAGAGAGTGGGTCTTTTGGAAACGATACCAGAAATTTACTGTGCTTGTCTCTGTTGGAAGGGACCATGTCAGGTTCTCTCTGCAGCAAAATTTCAAGGCCATGAATCTTGAATCTACCTCTCTCAACTAAAAGGGGCCCTTATAGATTCCTCGTAGTATACACCTGTTGGGGACCTTAAGGTAAAACTGAGCAGGAAAGTTTCTCCCCAGAAGCTGAGAGCATCCTATATGTGGACAGCTTTCCCAAAATCAGGGATCCACCATCCTGAAAGCCTTATATATATATGTATTTTTTCCCCTTTTCACCTCCATTACCGGCTGAACTAATCCCATCCCTTTGCTTACAGAAAAATACATGGGACCCGAATCTGTGGATGGCTTTAGCAAAGGCTAATGCTCTAGCAAAAAATCAGAGAAATTATTTGGATTGTGGGCTGGTGCCCCCAAGTCAGAAAATAATTCCACTTATGCCAATGTTGCCCCATGTTCCCAGTGACTTACCTTGAAACCCCAAAGGAAGAGTGGAAGTGCTTCTTGATATTCTAAACATGACTGTTCCTTGCTTTCCTATATTTGCTTGAAATAGGACCCTGATATCACCAATTAATAACCTAATCACTTCCAAATATAGAAAACCTATAAGTGATATCTGCAAAAGTTATGTGTCTCTGGACTAGGGCTGTGGCTCAGTGGCAGAGTGCTTGCCTAGCATGTGTGAGGCTCTGGGTTTGATCTTTAGCACCACATAAAAATAAACAAATAAAATAAAAGAATGTTGTCCATCTACAACTATAAAAAATCTTTTTAAAAGTTGTGTGTCTATAGAGCTGGGAATTAACTAGGTGGGTACAAGCTGAGTAATGTCTGCAAAAGGTGAATTGTGATTCCAGATATTGCATGCACAAGATCCAAGGATTACCTGAGTAGCTACAAATACTTGTATGATGTCACATTAAATCCAGTAATGTCCCTTTCCAATAAACAAGATTATATACCCTTCCAACATGATATAAAAGAATCACAAAAAAATAAGTTTCCCACTGGACCTTGTTCATAACTCTGCAGATTTATGATGAATAAATTTAACTGACCTCTGCACAAAAGCCACTAGATGGCACTCTTTTCCAGCTTGTAAGGGACTTTATGGGGTCTGTAGATAATCTGTCTACTCTGTTCTGCATCTACCCTGGTTCAGATCTTGCTCTCTCACCTGCTCCCTCCTGCCTTCTCAGGAGCTTTCCCTGGGCTGGAGATGTAGCTCAGTGGTAGAGTGCTTATCTACTATGTGTGAGGCCATTGTTTCTATCCCCAGCACTGCAAAAAAAGAAAAACAAAACAAAAAACACTTAAAAGAGTTTTCCCTGAGAGTTCTGGTACCTCCCATAATCAGAGGTCAAAGAGGTCAATATCTAAAATTAGTACCAACCTTGAGAAAATAAAAATAAGTCAGTTTCCTTTGAGGAAAGTCTCTAGCAGGGTTCTTGGGGTTTTACTTTGGGCAAGAGTGGGTGCCAATTATATGAAATTTGAAGCTAACTTGGTAAATTGGGGCAATAATGGATCTTTTTTTTTTTTAATTTTTTATTGTTGGCTGTTCAAAAGCAATAGTGGATCTTGTAGCTGATCAGACCTCATGGGGATTAAAAACTGACTAGTCTGAGAATATTAATGTTCAACAACAACGTTTAGTGAAACAACATTTGGTTTTAGATGTCCTCACTGCTCATGTAGTGGGCTTGTATGTAGTGCTAAACAAAACTGGATGTTATGCTTAATTTTCCCTTGATTTCATAAATACAAAAAGAGCAATTTAAAAGATGGCTAATCAGCTGGTGGTGTAGCTCAGTTGCTAGAGCATGTGTTTAGCATGCATGAGGCCCTGGGTTCCATGCACAGCACGCATGCACACACACACACACACACACACAGTCTGGCTGATGATACTGCTGCTTCTCTACATACTGCGTTGCATACATTAAGAAAATTTCTCAGAGAAAGAAACACAATGCATTTGAGAGCTGCTAACAGTTGGCTTGCTGACAACTTGAATGGAATGGAGGATGGCAAGCTTGGCTGTTCCAGGTTTTTCCAAACTTCATGTTTAGTTGGTCTCCAGGTCCCTATGACTTTGGTACCAGGCCAACTACAAAAATAGATATCGCTATATATCAGCCCATTTATTGCTCCTTAATCAACATCATGTTCCAGAGACTATGACCAACTGGATTTCATTGAATTCTCTTCATTATGCGACCTTTGGAGTCTCTGATTTTGGTTAAGGAATGTACTTTAGTTTTTTGGTATTATCCTCCTGATAGCAATCATGTCTCTCTAATGTATTGTATCCCCTCAAGAGTCACAAATGTTTCTATGTAGCCATTCTTTGTATATCAAACTGGCAAGAAAAACACCAAGAAGGCATACTCATCCAACTTATTTGCCAGTGTATATTATGAATTCCATAATTATGCCAAACTTGTCAATTGTGTTGGCGGAAAATACTGTCAGTGCTCAAGGTTTCAGTCAATTTCTCAAAATTGAGTAGCTGACCAGAAGGTTAGAATTGTCATGTTGGGCCTAAAGCTGCCTGTGTATGTGGGGAACCTGAATATACATTAATATGTCATCAAACTGCACCTGAGAGTATATTCTTGGAATAAGTTGCTGAGCAGTCAAGGGTTAGCGCGTCACATACTGCAAACAGCTCAGAAATGTGTACCCAGGGTAAATGAGCTGTAATCATTCAAGTTATTTCTATATGTCACTTTCTTGTTCTGTCAATAAATACTGCCTGCCCACCCTCCTGGGTGGAGCTTTTTGAACCTTTATTGGTTCAGGTGCTGCCAGGTTTCTGAATCATTCCTCTATGCAAAGAAACTAAAATTAAATTGATTAAATTGTCTAACCTTGTCTTTTTTTTTTTTTACAACTGTTAGCTTTCAGAAGAAATTCCTTGGACCCGTTAATAAAAAACAAAAATCTTTCTAATTTATCTACATTTCAAGAATACTTGACTCTAATTGCACTGTTCTGCTCTAAACTCAGAGTGTGCCCATTGTCTGAGCAAGGAGCAGTCCAAGACTAAGAACCAGGTAAGCACAAGTGCAAAGCAAGTACCTAGTACATAGAGAAAAGCCAGATCACTGGCTGTAATCAAATTACTTCACGCCTTCAAAAGATTTGCAAGACTGGGCACACAATGAGGGCTCACCAAGCATCTGCAGTGATATCTCACATCCCACCCCTACAATCCCAATTAAAAACAAAACAAAACAAAACTCTAACACATAATTGTGGCTCAGTGTCTCTAAGATACTGAGATGCTGCAAGTGGCTCTCCTCAGAGGGCTCAACCTCTATTTCCCCAGGATGGATAAGAAGAACGTTTCCAAAAAAATGGTGAATGAAGGGCAGCCCAGAAGTTTAACAAAAGGGGCTTCTAGCCTGCACTTTGCTCTAAGTAAAGCATTTAGGGATCTGAGAGCTTGATTTTAAATACGACTAAGGCCATATATTATTTCCAACTCTGCCGTTTAATCAATCAGCTGTGCGTTCATGAAAGTCATTTTCCTCCCTGGGTCTCTTCCCTATCTGCAAAACTAAGCGGTTGGCTGAATTTGGTCAAGCCATCAGGACAGGAACTCCCAGAAAAGCAGTTTTTCTGTGTCATAATTCCAGATGTGGATGCCAGTGGCTAAAGACCTGTGCAATCCCTTTTGCGGCTTCCCATCGCAACGAGGAGACCAGGAAGATTTGCTGCGGTTGAAAACATGTTAGGAAAAATCTACTTCGCCATTTGACAATAACCTTCCACAAGTTAGAACCGTGCCCTCAAATGTTCCCCGAGTTACACAATACGCAGGGAACGAAGGACAGACTTCAAATGGGAAGTCGCGGCCCCAGCTCTCACCAGCCCCAAGAAGGCCGCATACAGGATCGCGGTGGTGAACCAGCGCAGCACGCTCGGGGCCTGGGCGCTTGGCCGGGGGACCGCCACCGTCTCCACTTCATCGTTCGCGGGGCCCTCGGCCTGGAGGAGCCGCTGCCCCGCAGCCGTAGCCCCGGCACCACGCAGCTCCTGTCTCAGCTCCAGCTTGGCGGCTCCGGAGACGTGGTCTCGCTGTCACCGATCTTTGTGGCGGATCCTTGGAGCTCTGCGCTGTCGTCCCTCCTGGCCAGAAGGTCCCTGCTTGGGCCCCCACCCGCGAGGATCCTTCTCAATTTAAGGTATGAGGAAGTCGGACTTTGGAACGCGCCTCTGTTCCAACCTAGGCTCTCCATCTTGCACAATTCTGGGCGGATCAAATGGCAGAAACGAGGCTTCTAGCCAACCGGGATCGTGCCATGACCCGAGGTGTCGTGTTTACCTGGAAGACGGGTCATCCCCGACCGGCTTCAGCTGCTGCCTTGGCTGAACTCACTCCGCGCCCCGTGGCGGAGAGAGCTGAAACTGCAGCCTCGGAACACACGAATCCGGAGGGAAGATGCGGGTCCTGGGGACTCCCGCGGCTCTGAGGCTCCCAGGCTCCCCGGCGATGGGACTGAGCCGGTCCCCGCGCCTCAGCTCTCCTGGCCGCTGCCTTCGCTGGCGCCCACCCGAGCGCCAGCCAGCCAGCGGGCGCTCTTCTCCCGGATCTCGGGCTGGCCTGGGGGGACAAAAGCGTCTCCACGTCCAGCACGTGCACATCCAGGCAAGTGAAAGGATTTTACATCCAAGCACACAAGTCCGTAGTGCCAAATAGTAAGCAGTGTGTGTGACACATCTGGTAAATAGGGGAGCATGCCAGTTTCTCACTGCTGCTAAAATTAGGAGCATTCCGTGTGAAATGGAACACACCAAATGTATGAGCATTAAAGAGTCCGGAAAAATTAAAAGTAGTCCCACCAAAGGCAGACCTGGAGCAAGAATACCAAGGAGGTCCAAATGCTGGTGTGATGAGCAAGTTTGGGAGAGGATCGTTGAAGCAGGAAACAAGACATTTCTTGTTCAAGACCAGCAGATGTTGACCTTATTCAGCTAAATCACCACCACCACGCGTGCTTATGCCAAGTGAGGACTACTCGAATTTCTGGAATTAGACCTTAACATGAAGGATTCCTTGCAGTTGGCAGCCCTTAAACCTCTAAGAGTGAAAGTGCAGTTTGACCAAATGGACAGCTGGAATGTCAAATGACAGTGACTTATAATTTAGCTTAAGTTCAAACTAATCAAAATGTAATTTCCAGAAGAGGAGAAAAATGAATTTAATTGTATTCCGTCTCTGTAACTTGCTTTCGTTTTACCTCTAAAGGTAACCTTAGCTCTCAAAAATAATATCTCAGCCCGGCACAGTGGCTCTGGTCTGTATTCCCAGCGACACGGGAGGCTGAGGCAGGAGGATTGCATGTTGGAGGTCAGCCTAAGCAACTTAACAAGGTCCTAAGCAACTTAGAGAAACACTTTCTCAAAATTAAAAGGTAAAATGATCTGGGGATGTAACTCAGCAGTAGAGCATCCCTAGGTTCAATCCTTAGTACCAAAAATAAACAAATTCTCACCAGCTGGAAATACTAGGGATTTGCAAACTAAAAAAATTAAAAATAAACAAATAAAAAAGATGAGGTCAAACTTTACTGAGAAAATTCAGACCAACAACTACAAAGTGGGACTTCAACCACTTCCCAGGTCTCCTGGGTGGTGCAGGGAGCCCAAAGATTTTGTGTTGAGGGCCACAGCCTAGTCGGGATGACGCATGGCATTTTTGCCAGAAGTAGTGGTTGAGAGGTGAAGCTAGCCAGCCATTAAGATGATGACTTTTGAGTTCTGGTGGAGTTCCGGTTGAGTTGCTTGAGCTCTGGAGGGGATTCCCAGAGAGTTCCCATCGGTTGGGGAAGTGGCGGAGGAGGGATATTTCTGGTTGCTGGTTCCTGGAGGAGCCTGTGGCATTTGGGGGAGTTCCCGGAGTGTGTGTGGAGTGTGCTGGTGGAGTTCAGAAATAATAAATAAATAAATCCTGCTTCAGTGGCTCGTGATTTGTGCCCAGCCAGACTGCGGCAGTCTTGTTTTTATTAACTTTCCCAAAATGCCTGCCCTTGCTCCTTGGACATCTGAGGTTTCTTGTCCTAGGGTTCATCCTTCAGTCCATAAGTATTTGTTGAACCTTGTGTTAGTGTGTTAGCTTTCACTCCTACTTCTCAATTTTCACAATACCCTGAATTTTGATTTAGCTTCATTCATATATAGGAAGATTAAGGCATACTGGTCAGTAGTAACTTGCCCAAGGTCAATCAGCCAATCAGTGGCAGAACAGGATAAGGATAGCCCAAGAAGACACAATTCTTGCTGGTAATACTGTTAGGAAATAGATCAGGGTATGGTTTGGTGGGATTGCCAAGGAATGTTATATCAGCTGAGAAGAAAAGGCCTTATGTTCTTTTTTTTTTCTTTCAATACTTTGAATTAAACCTAGGACCTCCCACAAGTTAGGCAAGCTCCTTATCACTGAGCTAAATCCATGGCCCTTTCTATTATTTTATTTATTTATTTACTTATATATCTATTTATTTATTCATTTCTTGTACTGAGAATTTAACCCAGGGGTGCTCTACCACTGAGCCACATCCCTAACCCTTTTATTTAAAAAAATATTTTTTAGTTATAGGTTGAGACAATATCTTTATTTTACTTTTATGTGGTGCTGAGGATCGAACCCAGTGCCTCATGCATGCTAGGTGAGCACTCTATCACTGAGCCACGACCCCAGCCGTCCTCAACCCTTTTTATTTTTTTATTTTGAGATAGGATCTTCATAAGTTGCCTAGGCTGGCCTCAAACTTCAAATCCTCTTGCCTCAGACTCTGGAGTAGCTGAATATCCTGGGATTACAGGTGTGTACCACCCACCCAGGTGTACAGGTCTTGTCTTCTTCTTCAGGAGACCCCTATCTGCATCTCACTCCAGCTTTGTGTTTCGGCTCTGTAACTGCAGTATCAAAGTGTGATGTAAAAGATTTCCTTAACATCTCTCTGACAAAATCATTTTCCACCCAATTACTTGCTCATCCTCTTAGGTTCCAAGACTAAAAACCTTAATCTTGCCATTCCTTGCAACCTAGCTCTCCAACTTCATCCCTTTGGTCATTAAATCCTTCTCACTTTCCTTCAGAAATATCTTTTCACCCTGCTTTCAACTCCCACTTCCTGCTACCCTAGTCCTTATCCTCATTTCTTTTTTTTTTTTCTTTCTTTTTCCGTGTTTCCTTTTTTTCTTTTTGTAGTAGGAATTGAATGCAGGTATACTTGACCACAAAGCTACATTCCCAGTCTGTTATTATTATTTTTTTATTTTGAGATATCATCTTACAAAATTGTGTAGGGTGGCCTCAAACTCATGATTCTTCTTCTTCAGTCTCCAGAGTTGTTGGGAGTACAGGTGTGCACCACCACATCTGGCTATCCTCCTTATTTCTTGCTTTGACTATCACAAAAGTTTTTAGTTGATTTCTAAAGTGTGTGTCTTTTTTTACTCATTATTTTTAGTTATATGACATCAGAGTATATGTTGACATATTTATACAAACATGGAGTATATCTTATTCTAATTAGGATCCCAGTCTTGTGGTTGTGCATAATGTGGTGTTTATATAGGTACATAGAAAAGTTAAGTCAGATTCATTCCACTGTCTTCCTATTCCTGTCCCCCTATCTTCCCTTCATTCCCCTTTGTCTTCAAATTTTCAGTAGGGAGCCTCTGGAAATCAAGGTAATGACAAATAACAGAACCTTAAAAATGAAAGTCAGGCCAGCAGGAGGGAAGTGGTGGTCTGTCTTATCTTCTATTTAGTTGAAGCAATGCAAACAAATTGATTATTGAAGTCAGGATTCTAGCTACAGCAGAGGTGAAAACAGTCCAAACAAAGGGCTATGGAAACACATGAAAGGGAGGAACTAATTCCACTTGGAAGCATTGTACAATGTTCACAGAGCAGGTGGCATTTCATCTGGGCTTGAAGGGTAAGTAGAATTTGCTATACGGAAAGAGGTGTTTCAAGTGTAAAGCAACTAAAAGTGCAAGTGTCAAAAATCCTAGGGCATGAAGTGTTTGCGAGGCAGCATCTACTAAATGCTGGGCAAATGTGCATACAAAAGAGACAAAGTTCCTGCTTTCATAAACTTCATACAGCAATGAGATGACCATTATTAAGTAAACTTACACAAAAATTGTGGCTTCATAATTGTACTAATGATATAAAGGAAAGTATAGAGGCTTTGATTTAAGAGAACCTAATTTAGTCTTTTAGCATATCCCAAAATGAGGGCACCACCTAACACATGGAGGTCACTCAAATTACTGATACACAATTGGTGAATTAAAGGATTAACAATGTTCCCCTAAGTCTTGCACCCAGGGAGCTGGAACAATTCTGAAGACAGATTCAAGTGGACCATCTGTAAATAAGGAAGATGAACCACCCACTTCATTCAAGAGGTCAGTTCACAGGGCATTTGAGAGGAATGGGTTGCAGACAACAACTGTGGGTTCCATCAAAATATTTCCCGATGTCTTTATGATAATATGCTTCATTGTGTCATTCATTTCAACCACTTCAAAATCCATTTTATTTCATTTTTGTGCTTCTCCCCTTCATTCTCAGTAAAGGAGTAGAACGACATTATGAAAGGACAGTGAGCTTTAGAGTTCTCATTCCATGACATGCTGGGGAGCAAACCAGGCTGATCTCTGTCTTCATGATTTTAGAATCTAATGAGCTTTGGAGTCATACAAACCTAAATTTAAAGTCTAGCTCAATTTCCTATAAGCTATAGTGTTAGGTGGGAGTTCAGGACACCATGATGGTAGAGATAGGATATTAAAAAGAAGCTGCTGGAGGACAAGACAAGGAGACAAGTCCTGCCATATTTACAGTAAATCCCATTAACATGACAACTTCTGCCACTGAGGATTTATCACCATGACAAAGCCCAACACAGGTTCAAATTTTTAAATGAACAATGGAAATAAAGTGGGCAGTATTCTAATTAGGTTTTCTAAAGTAAC